TCATGCAGGCTGCCATTGTTCACCTCCTCTTCTGAAAATGCCAGTTGCCTGGCTGTCCTAGGGATCCAGAACAAGTGTGCAGATTAGGCATTCAGAATTTTCTTGATCATCATCAGTGTCCTGGGTGGGTGACTCCGAAAGTATTCACAACAGAATACTTTTTCAGGGTTTCTATGAATGGACCAGGGGAGGTCCTATTGTATACCCTCCTATCCCTTTGTCCATTCACAGAACGTCTTGTATTGTGTGAAAAGAACACAGGAAGGGGAATTTATCAAAACTGGGGCAGACAAATTCTGGAGCAGTTGCAGAGGGTAACCAATCACCTTCTCTCTACAGTGTATTCACCTCCCTCTCTCAGCTTCTCTCTCTCTCTGAAAATGAAAGAGAGAAGCTGATTGGTTGCCATGGACAGGTGCTCCAGATTTTGTCTGACCCAGTTTTGATAAATTCCCCTTAAGGTGTTTGTGGCCTGATGAGCGAAGACTTAAGGGAGTGTAAAGGAAACGATCCTTCACTGAACGAGAGCAGGTTCTATCAGTTGCAGTGCCAGAAGAAGAGCGCAGTGTGTAATATCTGATTTGTACAGCAGCCAACAGACCACATATAGCATACTATTCGTCATAGCAGGGGTGGGCAACTCCAGCTGTGCTTTAACTACAAGTCCCAACATGCCTCTGGAAGTCATGACTGCAACTGTCAGTCTTGCAATGCCTCATGGGACTTGTAGTTCCTCAACAGCTGGAGAGCGGAAGTTGCCCAATCCTGCATTAGAGGTAACTTATTTCACGTGTGGTCTATCCAAATCAAAATGTTTTCTCCTGGAGTTCTGCTTTAGAGGCCAACTATAGTGAAGATGATGTGAGAAAAAGTGTGATGATAGTTTTTCCATATGGATTCCTTTTGGTATTTAATATTTATTTATTATATGTATTTATAGAGCGCCAACAATTTACTCATCACTTTACACAGTGCACATTCATTCAGTGAGTCCCTTCCCTAAAGGAGCTTACAATCTAAGGTCACATGCATACCTACAAGAGCCAATTTAGACAGGAGCCAAGTAACCTTCCAGCATGTCTTTGGAGTGTGGGAGGAAACCGGAGCACCCGGAGGAAACACACACAAGCACAGGGAGAACATGGGAACGCCTTGTCTTCTTTTTCCCAATTTTACACATAGGACAACCTATCCAGCAACAGTGACAGTTGGGACAATCTATAGTAATGACAGACGTGCTAACAACAGTCAGATATTATTCGTGGGGGGTAAACCTGTTCCTGTAACAGGTTAAAATTGTTAGCCAGAATCAGGCTTTCATTTGCTTTTCACCAATGTAAAGTCCATTTAAGATTGCAGATCCCTTTAACCTGTGCACAGGGTGACAACGCTGCTGTGTGATTTCACTTCAGAGGAAACCCCGTTACTACCCTGTGAAAGGAAGTGAGGAAATAATGGATCTACTGGCATTATTGGATTAACAGTTAATAAAACTGTCACAGGGGGGCTCAGAGAAGAAAATTTCTCTGTGCCCCCCCCCCCCCTTGCACACCCCCTACTGTGCACATCTAAATTTTGTGTTTTGCGTTTCTCAAAATGTGACAATGCTCAACATGACGAAACCTATTATTTTCACTGGTGTCCATTCACACCTGAGCACAGAGTTGCTTGTAGCTTAAAAAAAGTACATTTGGGGGGGGAATTTTATCAAAACTGGAGCAGATTTGCACTGAAACCAATTGAGGTGGGATAGGCGGTAACAATGATTTTGTATCAATCAGACAGAATGAGGGAAATTAATCAAAACTGGAGCAGACAAACACTGGAGCAGCTGTGCATGGCAACCAATCAGCTTCTCTCTCTCATTTTCAAATCTTACCTGAGCAAACTGAAGAGAGATGCTGATTGGTTGCCATGGGCAACTGCTCCAGATTCTGTTTGCTCCAGTTTTGATAAATTCCGCCCAATGCATTTTGTATATAAAATGCATATAAAGTACCAGTGTACACTCTCCTGTTATAACATCAGCATTGAATAGGAATACATACTAGATTTGTTTTTGTCATGCAATCAAAAATCCCTTTTATGTAGTAAGCGCTGCCTTCTGTCTGCCCATCACTTTCATCAACTTCCAGGATTCCCAGTGTGCTTTGCATCTCTTTCCCTGTTGCTTGATGTGATCTAATCTCCATTTCTCAAGATGACATAGCCCATCATGCATTGCTTCAAGAAGGCAATGATAAGGTTACATTACTCAGGCATTGAGTTGTAGTTCAGAAGACAAGCTCTGTGAGAGTTGTGACAAGTGTATATTCACAGGGCTGAGAGAAATTGTGTCAGAGCATTGAGGAAGTCCATCCTATGGGGATCTTCAGCTCCAAACTTCTAGATGGATACGGTTATTAGGAGCCGGATAGAACTTATGGAGGTTCAATATAGAAATACAGATGTATTTGTAGTTTTTGACTATAGGCACCCTTCAATAATGCAAGTTGCATAAATTGTTTGCACAATTTAACCCTTAACACTGTCTCCTCCTCCTAGTAACTAGCATTACAGTAGCTAAAACATAAATACTCAGCCTGGAAAATGCCTGAAAAATGTGCAAACAAAAGTGCAAAAACGTGTAAGAAATGCTTCAAACCCCCCTAAAACGCTCAGGTTTTAATAGGAGCATTATTTATATAT